TATATATATCAAAATAAACAATGGGGGCGCCATACGTAATCTACGAGTAACTTCACGCATGCTTTGATATTCAATCGCTTTAAACTACATTCGAGCTTCTAGAAAACAGAATCGACTTTGAATATGAAACTAGGCGTTGTCACAAGAAGACGCACAAGATCAAAGAATGTCTACAAGTGATATGTAATCGTACTGCGGTAATCCATTGCTGTTTGTCACTTCGGCGCGTCTAATTGCTTCAAAGTCACACGGACTTTGAAAAGTAACCCATTGTTAGCTAATATATTTAGTGAGAATTATATGACAAAGGTGGAAGAAAGGTTACATTACGGTCATTGACATTACTTCCATATCATATTTATTGTAACATTCAAACGCGTTGACTTTAGGAGGGCGTTTATATAATAATAATAATAATAATAACAATAACAATAATAATAATAATAATAACAATAATAATAATAATAATAATAATAATAATTATTATTATTATTATTTATAGAACAGCTGATGTTTGACTTGTGCATCAGCACCACATTCACTGCTAACACTGCGGACAGGAAAATCTGTTACCTGTAACATGAGTAATGAGACAACCCCAGCACATTCTGAGTCACGTAAAGACGTTATTAGAGCAATTATATCATGTTGTACGTGTATCACTCGAGTGATTTAAGAAGACAGTGATCGATTACAGGATAAAAAACACAACTTTTTGTTGGAGCTCAGAAAATGACGTATGCAACCAGACATAATCATATGAGACACGCAGACACGAGGGCACACTGCCAGTTTGGATAAGTTTTCTTGGTCTCAAACTTTGTCTAAGGGGCCATTCAGAATATATGATCCGAGTACTAACTGATCCGCCGACTAAATATGGCCGACCCCACTTGAAAAAAGCGATGCCGCTAATTCCATGATGGTCTCCCCACCTCCACACGCGCCGTCGCTGCAGGGACCTAGCATTTAAACCTCGGAGCCACGATTTAATCCGTTTAATGGCGCGTGTGGAGGCGGGGAGACCATCGGGAATTAGCGGCAACGCTTTTGAAGTGTAGTCGGCCATATTTACTCGTCGGTTCAGTAAGTACTCGGATCATCAATTCTGAATGGCCCCTTATAAGTCTACATGTATGATGTTTGACAGTTTCCCCAAAACACTTGGTGACTTGGTGATACACTCATTATTGTGTATTTTCTGATATATAACATTGGCAAGAATAAGATGGGTAGTTGATCCATTTGAGAATATAAAAATTATGCAATGTTTTCAGTTATGTACATGTACTACATTTGTTTTTCCAACCTTGGAGATCAGATAAAATTCGAACGCCATACGTTTTATATGAGAAGTAAATACAAATAGCATTTGATGTCTGAAACAGATATAGGGAACAATATACTGTATTACTGTATATCTCCATGCATCCACGGTGTTATCAATAGTCATCCATTGGCACTGAACATTGCGAATATCTGATACATATCATAAAGTCTGCAAGAGATATTTCAGGTTGCAAAATGTTGCTTTTTTCGAACTTCTATCTCTCAGAAACTTGGATTCGCCTGTGGTAGTCACTGAGTTCCCAGATAGAAGTCACGCTCCATGCCCAGCGGTGGGCAAGCCAATGAGTGTGAAAAGAAGGGGCTACTGGTACCTTTGGTGCCTATGAGTCGCACCGAAAAGGGTCGAACCATGCATCTCCAATGTGAACTTAGTCCTACTGGTTTAATTAAGGCGAAAGGCATCACAGTTGTATTGGCGGACTGGGTTTAACGTTTATCGTTTAAGTGATTTGAGCAATTAAGCGGAAGAATTTTTGGTGCGCGCATGTGAGCGCTTTCGCGAGCGAGGAAGAATGTGTGCTAGTACGAGTAGTACGACTGCGCATTAGCAGAGAGAGAGAGAGAGAGAGAGAGAGAGAGAGATGGAGAGACTACATATCGATTGTCACTGATATGTGAGTTACGTTCAAGTTCCCGTGTTCTCGAATAAACGATGTCATTGGTCTCTCGTCTGTACTTTTATTTAATTCACACCTAACACAACCCAAACTTTCTAGATGTTCCGTCTCTCAAAAGACCTTTTGACAAATAGTGATTTAGCAACCATACCTAGTTACAATAACAGACTGAGTAGAGATCCAATAAGCGTAATCAAATAGGAATGTTATTACGCAGTATTTTTTATTGGCAAAAATCGCTTATTCAATTAAATACTTCAGCAACCAAACCGTGATTGCGTTGTGGAATTGACATTATCTTGATACAAAAATACTATTCAACTTTATTTCCTTTGTATTGATGTTGTAAATTAAGAGGTATTATACAGTCCTTGCAATAAAATCATCTATTGCCTTGTGAAATACGAGTGAAAAAGTAGACAGGCCATTTGTTGGGAACCCGTTGATCGATCGCAGTCTCAATAGTTGCCAGCATGCGAGACCAGATCAAGTCCAGTTTACACGCAGTGGTTTCAGTAACGCCAGAATCAAAGGTTATTGACGAGGCCAGTTGTTTGTTATATCGAGTTTTCTGATTTATCGACGTTTCTGTATGCGAACCTTTATGGCGGATGTTTTATCAAATATTTTGAATTATCTGTCGGTATATGTATGTTTATGATAATACTTTTTATGGATACATTTTTTGTCGCTTTATATTTACTATTTCATCGACAAGATAAGGCAATTTACGTAAAACCGATGTCGCCCAGCTTATCACCCCCTCCCAAAAAAATTATTATTTCATATGTATTTGTTGAGTTTTAATGCAGTGATTCGTCCCTTAAAAGAGCATCTAATGCAATTTGAGTCAGAAAAAAATATCTACACACGCCCCAATTCTCCCTAGATTTATAGCCCTACAATCTTGTTTGTAAACATGCTGGTATCTTAATTGCTTTGGCCAACAGCGATAAGTTATTTCCGTGACTGTTGGTGCTTGAAATAAAATATAAACATTATCGTAGGTGATATAAGGTATTGGCATGGGAAGTCAACATTACACGGCGGGGCATGTGTGGGTATAACATACAGGAACACTAGGGTTTTACGGTGAGATGTTCTATTAGTCTTAAATTTTTGGCCTGTCCCAGTAATTCACGAAAAAATGAATAACCAAAAATGAAAAGCGTATGTGTTTGAGATTTGGGACTATGCACTCATAAATTGACCCCAGAAATACACACTGGATTTTATATAAGGTCGTAAATTTTTGCCAGTGGTGGAAAGTTGAAGCTGTAAAAAGTAATATTTCACTTAAAACTTTCAGCGTTAAAAAATATTACACCGAGGTAACTAAGGGCTGATACAAGTGCAGTAAATTAAAATTGAATCCTTAAATAGATCTGATGATTTTAGGAGGTCTCTGCTGTGAAGTAAATCTGCCCAATGACACTTTTAGAGCGTAGATCTGTCCAAGTTTCTTTCTCGAGTGGAAATTATTATTTCAAGATGAAAGGAGCTAGAGTTGATGCTATTTCAAATCATATGGGATATGTTAAGGTTCTAATAAAGCAAATTAAAAGCTGTCCCTCTTCTTTTTGATGTGACGCAAAAAGTTTTTATTAATAGCAGGGTCTGACGCAGAGATTTTTTTGTAAATGTTAGCAACGGAGTATCTGGGATGGCTGCGCAGCCGTTGGGTTGGCCCTAGGATTACAACCAGATAAAATTAACAAAATGAAAAAAAAAAAACCTTTTTTTTTTGTTTAATAATTTCACAGATATCTCTTTTCCTCTACGTGTCATCCAGCCTTAGCTGAGCACACAGGTATGCAAAGGCAGGTCGGTGACAATAACTCCTTTACGGAAGTAACTAATCCCCTTTTATTGCTTGACACTTCTTAGCTTTTGCTAGCTATGCTTGGAAGTGATCCCCAGACAAATACGACAATATCTGGGCAAACTCGTTCTTTTCATTACATACAGGGAATCGTGCGTTAAGAAATAGAAAAAAGTAACGAAAATGTGTTTTACGTAGTATCCCAGTTATTTCAACTGTTATCTGGTCTTAGGTGTCATTTATCACTTGCATTCTTCAACGCTGAACCCGGAGAGAGAAGGTACTCAATTTGTGCTGGGCACTATTGTACGTTTTTATCCGAGCTTGCCTCGGTAAATACGTATATCATACCTGATACCAGCCCAATAACGTCGACAGGCTGGTCGCAACAGAATATTCTTATCACCGATGTTGTTAAGTAACTTATCAAACTAAGGGGCAGCGTTACAAACGGCTTAAAGCCCTTACACACCGGCTTAAGTGTGGCAATGATGTCGCAGTCGTAAAGTTAAAGTTTTGCTACACGTGTGATCTTCACACTGTGTATTAAACGTTTACGTCTCACCGGTATGCGTGCCGTATTTTCGACCGGTAATATTTTTTCTTACTTGACTTATGGGAAAAGCGTCGTTTAAAACCGACACAAAGGAACTCAGGTGTGGTGATAAAATCGTCTAATTACCGATGCACGGAATAATTCCATCTGCCCGGTAAAAGACGGCAACAAGCAGATTACCACATGCAATATCGGGAAAGGTTATGGCAAACATAAATCTTTGATAATAGTTCTTCCCCACTTCGCGATCAGCCGAGTGCGGATTGTTTGCTCGCTGTCAGCAGTCCAGTAAGAAGCTTAGGGAGACTTGTGACGTTTTGCTCTCAGAAACTCCCCTCCAGTCAGCAGCTTCTCAGATCAATAGCGACGTTTGGTTTCACTCCCAGTCGGGCCTTACCGTTTGACCCACCAGGCAGAGAGCGCGTTCAACTCTTTCTGGAGCTGATTCTTCAACTAGGTTGATTCTCAGAATTGTAACGGATTTCGAAATGACAGCTGCATAAAAAGAGACGAATCTTGTGTTGACGAACGAAAGAACTTCGATGATTACTTGAAAAAATTGTTGACTTTTCGAAGACCTACGTCCAATTAGAGAAGACACACTGAAAGTAAGATATTGCCATTTTATTGATTTCTCACTGCGTCTCTTTTTCAGTTGGGGAACTGTCTAGTGGAAACGGCCGGTGAAGTTATGGTGAAGATTTGACAAGATAAGCCGGACTTTACAACTGAGAACATATGCAGCGCATTGCAATGGGTGATAGCGGTAGATTGGCGCAGTTCCCCGTCTTCGACAACGATTCATTTGGCGATAGGTATACTTTTACCACAAGTGGCTTTTACCCCAATGCCACCAATGAGACAGGAAACACAACCGAACCAGAAGAACAATCGGCAGTTGTTCTAATTTTCAAAGGAATCGCAATGGCGATGATCATGCTGGCAGCTGTGTGCGGTAATATACTTGTAATTGTGAGCGTGATCCGATTTCGAAGATTACGAGTGATAACGAACTGTTTCATAGTTTCCTTAGCATTTGCGGACTTGTTGGTAGCTATCCTTGTTATGCCTTTCAATGCCATACAGGAGCTAGCAGGAAAGTGGATATTTAAAGACAGACTTGTATGTGATATATTTAATGCAAACGATGTGCTTTTCTCGACCGCTTCCATATTACATTTGTGTTGTATAAGCATGGATCGTTTCATAGCCATTATGCATCCTCTTCATTATGAATCTAGTATGACCAAAACACGAGTTGCAATAATGTTGACGTTAACTTGGGGTGCGTCAGCGACCATATCCTACATCCCAATCCACTCTCAGTGGTACACCACGCCCGAAAACTACAAAGAAATGCTGCGGCATCCAGAGACTTGTGCATTTATTGTGACCAAAGTGTATGCTGTGATATCTTCGTGTGTGTCGTTCTGGATACCATGCTCCATCATGGTGTTCACCTACCTGAAGGTGTACCGCGAGGCGCGGAGACAGGAGAAGCAGATCCACGCCCAAACCACCCACTACGCCCGGGGCTCCATCAGCACCGACGGCAGTAACAGCAGCGGTGGGCAGGTCAACGGAACGGCTTCAGAAGCCTGGAACAGTTCCTTTGCCCGGCATGGCGAGAGTGATTCGGGAAGGGACAGGCGGAGAATGAAGCGCGAACACAAAGCGGCAAAGACACTAGGAATAGTAATGGGGGCGTTTGTCCTATGTTATCTGCCATTTTTCTCTTGGTATGTTATAAGCACAATGTGTGACTGTGACACCCCACCTCTGGTGGTGGCGACTTTGTTCTGGATCGGATACTTTAATAGCTGCTTAAACCCAATCATTTATGCTTACTTCAACAGAGAATTTAGAAACTCTTTCAAAAAACTCTTAGGTTTGGACACGCGATGTGGCAAAAGGCGTCACGGATCGGCGCGGCATTCATTCGGCCGGAATCACGTCAACCGAACGTCTGTTAAAAGCATCCAGCGCCCCTCCGTGGACTGCTCCTGACAGTTAATAACACGCCCCCAGGGGAAGGCGCAGTCACCAGGAAAGGCCACCGGTAAGTTGATATCAATTTTTGCTACACTTTAATTAAGTCTTATTCTACATTAGGCCTCTGCTCCGTGGTGCAGCAATTTATTGGTATTTGCTTTCAGACCAGAAATGCACTTTTGTTAACTGTGATTTATCGCAGCGACTGTAAAAATCAATTAAGCGATTAGGCACACACAGCTTACAATCAGAGTCAGAGCCGTGATAATTGAACTGGGAATAAACACTTCCGGAACTCAATTAGAACGTTTTCCTATTTTGACCCAGAGGGACAGCATTTTAATTTTTTTATCTACCAAATTCAACTTGTCCCCCTTTTTTTGGCAAATTCAGAGCTTTGGATAACAACATTACATCAACTGTTTTCAAAAATAATTTTTTTCACTGACTGTCCTAACATATAGTCTTAGGAGTCGATATTGGCACTTCTTGGAATTCTGCAGTTAAGGTCATTTCAAATTGCCTGAACGCCCATTTTCATATTTATTAACACATGTGAACGGCATTTAAGCTATAAACCCACTGTTCCGTGCATTCATAAAAACATTAAATCTGTCAAAAAATTATGATAAAATTTTGAACCCCCAAGTAAAAACAAATCACCGACATAAAATGTTTAGATGGTCAAAAAAACCGACAGGTAATCATTTAATTATCAACATAGCCGCGATATTTACATTCCTGTGGGTCGTGGTCTCCTGCAGATTCACTCTAAATTTAATGTACCGGGTTAAGAACAGGGGCAAGTAGAAATACCATTACTACTCAGTTAATATACCACAAGATAGAACGTGAGCACTTTCTTTATAGATCCATTTGTTTGCGTCTTATCAATTATTCGACAGCTTGTGGCCCCATTTCCTCTTTAGATTTGGTGTGGGTCATTCTGCAATAAAGTACTTATGGAAGAAGCAATGTTGGGCAAAGACCGGGGAAATCTCAAGCTTGGTTGCCAACAACAAACAACATTGGTGTGAGTCATAAATGGGAGACCAAAGTTCTTGCGATCATGACCACATAAAATATAGATATAGTGCATAGTGTTTTTTATTCTAGCTGCAGAAATGGTATATTCTCTGTACTTCAATTACTTAAACTGGATATAAGGAAACACGTCTAAAACACTTCAGTACATAGCCTACGCGAAAGCTATATGAGCAAAATCGTTAGATTCTCTGATCAAACTGGAAAAACACCGGATCGTGACTCTTAGACCGTAAATCCCAGTGGTTTCTTGCACTTTGTTCACGAATCCCATACCTTATCAACACGTCTTCTTACATTACATGCTGCACATAGACTTGGCGGCCAAGTCGTCATGACAAGCAAGCAGTGCTGTATGTCAGCTTTGTCGGATTAAGTCTGAAGAACAAATACCCCATTCATGCAATTTCAAAACTTCAACACATATAAGCCGATTTAGGTGATTAGTGAAACATATGAGTCCGTCTAGTGTTTATTTGATCTTTCATTCGATCCCTCCATTATAGGTTTATTTGAATCGCGCAGATAAAGAGATCACCTCAAATTTCAGATGTTAATTTCTCGAAAAATCACCGCCATAAATGCATAGCATTCAGCTAAGTAATACGTTTTGGACACCTAGGTTTTGACTCAGCACCACTGGTATTTATGCCATGTACCTCAGTTGAAAAACAGCATAAAAAAGAGATTGGATTTAGTGTTTTGTTGACTCCTGGATGACAGCCTGTCTCTGATGGTCACAAACTGCATCTTGACGACATTACAAGATCCAACAGGAATGTGGTATCATACACCATACACTTAGAAAAGTCCGAATGCATTTCAAACAGGTTGGGTCCCAATTAACAATAAAGAAGAAAATATAGATGAAATTTATGTGGTCGTCTTCAGGACGTGAAACGGTTTATGTCAAAAATGACTACGTGCTCTTTTTAAGAAGGCGAAATACCAATCAATTACCCGTTCTAATAGGAGACTGCTGACAATAAAACGATTGGTTTGGGCACTTCGTTTTAGGACTATGGTATTTGTATTTATATATCTATGAAATAAAAACGTTTCAAACACCGAAAGCAATACCATGGGGTAGTAATTACCTTAATTCTAATGGGGATCGAAAGATACTGAGTGTTTTAGAAATCAAAACCATAAAAGCTGGCCGTCTTTCATCCACTCGATATACTCATCGATATCATTGCCCGCGTCATGATTGGCACCAAAAGTGGGCGTATTAGGTGGTTTCTTGGAAAAAAAATGCAGAAGTAAAGGGTTACCCCACGTACGCCCCAACGTTTGAATTACTAGGATTATAAATAAATGTGATGGTATGAGGTCGTGTATCGTACATGTTGATTAAGCTTACCATTTATTTCTTTGCCCTAATTACATTAACTCCACAATTTAATGGATAAATAAATTAACCAATCGATAAATCAATACAACTGAAATAAGGAGTAAACAATTAAACTCTAAAATATGTTGTATTTTTAAGTAGGCTATGGATCCCATAAGATCGTTCTCTTTATGGTTTTGTTTTAGCCAAATGTAGCAATTCGATTGGTCAATTGGTAATCTCCAGGCAGTGGCGACCCCGAGGTCTTCTGCCGCCATTTTCTTTGTTTTGAAGTAACACTGAGAACATTTAAGATGCAAGTTTTCCTTAAAACATAAACTATGGGGCAATCGCATTGGAGGAAAAGAAGTATCGCTGTAAAGTTCATATGTACTCTATTCAAATCTGTTTGGAATAACCTTCCTTCGTGAAAGAGCAAAACGGTCATAAACTCAAGAATATTAGCAATAACTTTTCCTTCAGTTATGCATGTATTTATAGGTTTTTTAACCAGAGACGTGGATTCTATTTAAAAATCATGCCGTTGGCTCGAATTCATATGTCCCCAATTTAAGAATTACACTGGATTCTAGTAAATCTTCCACGTAACTTTTTACAGCTGTTCTCGTTAGTTTAACATAGTATCCATAACGTGTCTCAAGCATAAATCTTGCGTGTCTTGCGTGTGCGTATATCTTAAGATTCGCTGAATTTTGCTGTTTACAGGCTACAAATCTGTTTATGGGTACCTTACGGGATGCCTGACTGGTTGTTAATGTCGAACAGTTGAACCGTGGCATGTAAGCCTCACAATGCTTCTGAAAATACAACGTTATTACCAGAGACTCTCTGCCGGTGTTCTACAAGTTGTAGTGGCCCAGATGAATTAACGTCCCTACCAATACCTGTTGCATATTCTGAAAGGAGACGATTGCTTAAATGCAATGCGTTGTTTAGAACAAACAAAATACACTGTGCTTACTGCTCATTTTGACATTATTGACGTTACGCAAGATCAAACGTGAAAAAAATGAATGCTCGCCTTCAGATTGTTGACAGTTTCAGTTGCGAGCAATTATAGATAAGATTTAGACGAAATCGTCAACAATATGATCCTTAGAAGTCTGGTTACGATTTCTGGGAATATTTCACTACTTGCGGTGCAGTTGTTGAGGTGTCAGTAGTCATATGTTACCAAATTTGTTGGCGCATTGGCACATTCTTTATTTCTGTTTAGCTTCGAGATATGGCTGATTATACCTTAACTTTCAAACCTCTGAGAGAGAGAGAGAGAGAGAGAGAGAGAGAGAGAATACCAAAAAAGAATCCATGACATCTAGATGAATGCACTAAAGTTTGCCCTTGTATAGGATACAGCTATACATCCAGGTCAGGCGCTCTTTAAACGCTGCCCTCGCGTGTCCTTACAGTGTGAAGGCAAGAGAAAAAATATATATGGCCTCAAAAAAGCCACAACAGGTGTGAAAGTTATTCCTGATCAAAACTGTGAGCGTAATTATTCATCACATTTCGAGCGAAACCTCCTTGGTGCACGACATGAATCAAACTGATGAGGAAATGGTATGCCTTTTATGTGGCTTCGACCCTTGATGCTGCGAGCGTGATTCGACAGAAGTGACTGTTTGTTTGATTGGGAAGACTCGACAACATTTGTGTGTGACGTATCCTTAAGATGGAGTGTTCTTTTCGGTTTGTTGTTTGGCGATTGTCTGTCATGCGAACTTAACAAGATCTTGTGTCTGCATTAATGTCTAAGATCGCGTTCTCATTAATTTTAAAAATGAAAAATAAAAGTGCATCTCCAGTATTGATTTTGTGGACTCGATGGAAGAGATCTAGAAATAATTTTGAATCTGAACATTTGACTGCTGTCGACTGTTATCACAGGCAAACATACTCTGTTGTTGTGTTCTTATTCATTTTTTGTTTTTTCTAAGATTTCAGAAACAAAACACACACGCACACATACAAACTTTCTTCAGCCACTAAAAGCGTCCTACGTGTTTTATCAAATAACGAACCGAGTCAGCGATTGAAAATCAAAACCTACCAAATACAAAATAAATACTAAGTAGTAGACGCTAAATTTATGAAAGTATTTAATTTTTAGAATATTCCTCAAGTAAAATACCGTTATCGCTTATAAACATAAACCACTTTTTACATAGTACCAATAATAAGATATATAATGTTTTAAATGCGACTACATTTTCGACTCGCGGGGCTAAAAAAGTTTGTTGTCTATTTCATTGTTTTCACCTGCGTCATCATCATCATTACTTTCCAGCAAATTGAAAATGACTAAATATTGATTAATGGCAGAAGCAATAAGGTATTATTGTGTAACGTGCTGTCATTTCTTCGTGGTGTTGTCAGAAAGGAGAGACACCGGTCTGCTAAATGTTGAATGGCGTGTCTTATTAGATGAAGTGCGTGACAGGTGTGTCTTTTATTACTTCCCTGATCAGTGTTTGTTTACCTTTGATGGAGAAATAATAGAGAGACCGTTGGATTTAGCAGTCTATTGTGAAATGCTTAAGTACCACACACAATGTTTTGGTATTACATTGTCATTTGTGTTCAGTAAAACATCGGTAACAACGCCAGTAAATGGAGATAGTAAAGTTAAAAATTTTAAGATATATAAGTGGTTTAACAAATACATTTAA